CCGAAGGTAAGTGTCATGTTTGTTGGACTGAATAATCATATAAGACTGGTTCCAGACATCCACAGTGACCCTGTGGCTAGCACTGACATAAGTCAGGTTTTGTATTTCCCATGAGAAGATCCTTTAGCCTACACCTTTCACAATTTGATCGCCAAATGTCGAAGCCTGGTGAGAAACTGTGACCAGCATGAAGCACGTTACCTTTTTCCAGGAGAAACTACAGCTAACCTATTAACCTGTTTAACCTTAATGCCCCCCATTTGGGGGCCTCTACAGTTTCATGTCCCAAACATCTACAACTGTCCACATTCTCCAAACACAACTAAAACCACAACCAAACAGCCCAGATGGGAAACAAGGCCATTTTAAGTTGTAATAAATTAAGATACAACAATATTTTAACTTAATTTTTGAAGAGCATCTGACCTTCTCTGGTGTCTGCTGGAAAAACAAACCCTTGAACAAATTTAGTTGAGGGCCCCTGGAATAAATAAAACAATAGACTCAATCTCCTAAATGGAATTTTGACTCACAACCTCCATCCTGTCAGCACTTTCCCACAAGGGAGCTCCTCTAAAATAAAGTTAAAGTATTTCATCTTAATGCATCAAAAACCAAAAATTGCTTTGTTTACAATCTAAACTGGTTTGATTGTAGCTGTAGCTGTGCTCGGGGAATGCAAACAATCACTGACACTTGGGGCATGAAACTCCAAAGGCCCCCAATTGGGAGGCGCCAGGGCCCAAAGAAAAAAGGTCTAGGGCTTAAAGGGTTAAAAACCATTTTGTTACATTCAGTCTGACTTGGCTATCCAATTCCATGATTTGGTACTTTTTGGAAGTCAGAGTAGTAAAGAGTTGTTCATGGGACATGACCATAGGTGAGGAGGGTGCAGGCAGCAGAGGACGATGCCATCCTCTGCTGCCTGTGGATAAACAGAGATGGAAGTGACACTGCCAGCATCGGCAATGCTCTGAGGATGGCTGCAGATGTAGCTAAAACTTGTCAGCAAGAAAGGAAATAACAAATCTCTATTACTCTGCGTTCAAAAAAGAACCAACTAATGCAATTAGAAATCAAGTCATGTTACAGTAAGTCTGCGTGGGTTTTGGTTTCTGTTTGCTATGTTGAGTTTGTCGGTCACCCCATCTGGTCACCTAGCCGGACCAAAGCTTCCATTAAAACTATAAATTTTATAAGAAAATGTTTCAAATATGTTCCCGAGGCTCACCTGTGCTGGAATGTGAGTATTTCAAACATTAAAGGTCAGTCAGTTAATGGGAAATCTGTTCCTCCCTCTATTGGGGTAACCAAGGTTACGGTTATGTAATCAGACTGTGGTAAGAATGATGACTTTTTGTTCACAGTTTAGCCATATTAAGGTGATTTGCAGGGAATATGAGAACTTGGGTGCCTTAGGTATCAATGTTTGTGCAAGAAATCACTATTATAAAAAAACAGGAAAAGGACGGGGGGGGGGGGGGGGGGGGGTCTGCTGCTGTCACATCTCGTCTGCATACCAATATTTCACCTGCATTATTGATTATGGTTCTCCGTGTCTTTTAGTCTTTTTTTCTGAGCCACAATAGAGCCATAAAAACATCATGCATTATGAAACATGACATGAACCCTGCTTTGTACGAACATTGCAGGGGGCAGACAACATAGTGAAATTTAAAGAGTTGGAGTTGCAGCATCGGTGGATAAAACCACATTCACTTTGTGATGCACGGATGATCTGAGATGGCGCAGAATGGAATTGGAAGGATGAGGGACGCTTTGTGTTTTAGAGGGAAAAATTCCAGAATCACTCAAGTTTGAGAGTTGCAGAGTCAACGCATTTGATGGGTTTGACTTGAACATTGGCTTTGTAAGCTGGGCCAGGATTTCACTGTGGGTCCTGAAAGAAGTTCTGAGACTATTTTAAGAGAATAACTGAACATAAAATATCTTTTGTGTTCATGTTTCTGAGCAAAACATCCCATGAACCACTGGTACATCCAACCATTGGATGTTCCCGTGATTCATCCACAGCTGATTCATTCTTGGAATCAATCTAATTAAAGATGGCCTCCACAGATCTTAGCTGAACTCAGTCAGTACAAACATCTGTAACTCAGTTTTAGTAAGCTAAAAGTTTGTATTGTAGTAGCCGAGAGTCTTCTGCATCATATCCAGTTATTTTTACACACCGTGCTACTCCTCTGATTAAACATTTCAATCAGTTCTTGGTCAACCAAGTCATTCTGTAGATTTTGATGAAGGTTTCATAAAACTTCCTTGGATGCACATCTACACCTGATACACCATTGGATTGAATCCAATTAGAGATGGCTGCCAATGCAATGAACTCTTCAACAACACAAAATGGCCATATCTGAAGATGTTTTATGAAACTAGGGGATGAAGTGGCGTTTTTCATATGTACGCCATTAAGGTAAAAATGTCTTCAAATGTGAGACTTGAGCTCTGTTTGTTTAAAGGTATTATTTTTTGTTTATTTTTAAGCTGAAAAGCATAATTCTAGCCAAAAGACAAACTTCATTCATAAGACAGAGATAGTGACCAATGACAGCTTCTGTTTACCAACCATCTCTGTTTGAAACCCTATGTGGAAAACAGATATGCCATCCAATCACCTCCTGAGCACTACTTTTTCATAGTGCTTGCCCTTTGCCAAACTACTTCTGCCTCGGACTTCCCAGGTGCTTGTGAGCAACAAACCATCTGGCATGTCAAGTTTAGCAGGCATGCACTGAGCCCCCGATGGGCTGCCGATGTGAGAGTATAACCCCGAGCCCTGGCTTCAGGCACGCACTGCAACCTGTCAGTCACATAAAAATACAAGTTTGGGCTTTTCTTTACACGTCTCTTAAACTAGGTTTTCAAATGGGAAGTCCAACGGGAGCCATTCCATTTCAGTGCAGCTTCGTGGCCCGTTGCAAATTTTCTACATAGAAAACCTGTGAAAATATAAAAATCTTACTTTCTGTCAAGTTAGTGGGAAACATGAAGCATATTTCTGATGATTCACTTCTAAAATGATCAAAGACCATACACTGGGCTCATGAACCCCTTCATTGTAAGTCAAAAAATAGCGTTTTTCTTTAATACATCCCAGTGGACAGAGAGCCAGACTCGTTTATCATGAGCAAATTAAGGCAAGCCCTGCTTCATATTCAAGACTCTTAATTGAAATTATACATTAGAAGTACCAATATGAATTCTCAATGCACACGAGGTCAAAAACAAACTTCAAACCACAATCGGATTCACTGGAACAATTCCATCACTGTTTGACTACTGCATCATTAACAACCCAACAGCAAACAGAATCATGTGTATAAATGTGTTTTTGATGGTGGAAGAAGCTAAAGGATGGTCAATAAGGAAAGTCATCATTTCAATTTAAACAGTTTAATTTTAGGTGACAATTTTCAGGTTAAAGCAGATGCACGAGTAAATAAATAAAATGGGCTTTGGTTTTGGAAATGTGGTGTGAATTTGATGTATTTCTACCCTTAATGGAACCATAGCTCACTGGATGGCAATCATGCTTTAATAATATGGGGGCCATGCTCTATTAAAGAAGCCATAAAACTAACTATTACGGCCATAAACTAGTTTGAAAATGTTTACAGAGGACACAAATCAAGTGAGAAGTAGGGTCATTTTCCTATAGACTTTTGTACAAACAGTTTATTGCTTTCTGCAACGACTGGACATAAACATTTCACAGGGAATAGATTGATTGCTGCATCGTTACCGTGGATGCTTGGCTTGTACACGTGTAGCTAATCACCATTTAACTCTACAACTGTGATTTATAGAGCTTGGATTTGATTTTGGAACTGCGGCGTCACTTTTAAAGGTTGATCGATTTCTTGTGCACTCATAAAAATAGTTTGTGCAGAAATTTAAGGAATTGTATCTTGGATTTGTTTTAATACAATTGGAAGGTAATCTGGAAAGATTCCATAATCCACTGTAATAACTGACTTTTTGAGCTTTTATTGTGAAATTTCAACATGGGTTTTATGCATCCGGTACCCACTGGCTGAAAGTCAGTCCTCAGTCTAGTTGAATTCTAGGTTTGGGTAGTGGAAATGTAATCAGCGTATTCTTCCCTGCCTTGTAGTCTTTGTCTCTTCCTTGTGAGGGTTTGGGGGCCTGGTGTTTGAGCTGGCATTGTGGTGGTTGGCCCCACGTTTGTTTGCCACTTGTAGCATTAAGGACACATATTGGATGTTTGCTGTTTCCTCTAGACAATTTTTTTTCTTTTGGGGGCAAGAACACAGCCATCTTTGGCCACCATCATCCTGCACCACCAATGATTGACCTATTGAGCACCTCTGAGACAAACGACTCTCGCTAACAGGATATAAAACTAACTTTTGTTTAAAGTAGAAATCCTGAGTTCTTTTCTCAGAAGGCACCATCTAGATGCAGAAAACTGTATTGCACCTTAAGCCCTTCTCCCTACTTCTGTGATTACACCTCTCGTTCGTCATTGTGCACCTCTGGGTGGCAAACTGAGCAAAAACACATTTTGTTATGGTTATTCTCACATTATGCTGTTTATGGACTTATTTACTTAGTCTAGGTACGTCCAGAAACACGAGAGCACTCTGTGTCTGACAGCTGAATGGAAACGGATGTCTAACACTATTGGCTAATGGTGAACGCGGCACTCAATTCAAAATGCATGAGGCTCTATGACAAGGGGGTGGGCTTAGCAAACATAAAATAGTTGATGTATTGCCTCCATTATATCAGAGTACTGGGTAAGACTCACTTTTATGTTTTTTTCTAAAAAAATTTTCTTTCAATTCTTGAAAGAGGGAAAACTCCAGATTGCTGCTTCACATATGTAATGATTTTCTTTGAAGACACGGACCCTCTGGAAACAAGTAACTGCAATTATTCAACATTTTTACCATTATGCGTGTTTTCCACTCTGACTAACGATTTCTTTAATCAAACACAACTTGAAAAGTTGGTTAGGGATATTTTTTCAATGATTTTATTATGAAAATAAGTATAAAAATATAAATATAAAACAATGTGACTCAGCATTCAAACAGCATGAAAGCAGTGTATGATGGTTTCCTACAACATACACGTTCCATTACATGTTTACACCTATATGATGGAATGAATTCACAGTTTGACCAAAAATAAAACAAAAAAAGTAAACCGCACCAACCATTCACATGAACATTGCTTGTCAAACAGAGATAGCAAATAGTTTATACCATGTCCATCATTAAAAACACTTTGTACACTTACAGTATTGAACGAAGTTGGCTGGAAAAACCACCGGACTCCTTCCCTTTCCCACCCAAAACCAAGCTGTACCACTGAACATTGATAGTATACAATACTACTATCTTTCAAGTTATTACAAAACACATTATCCACACAATTGTTCACAAAAAATCCTAAAATTTAAAGGCATCTTTAATGATTTTGACCAAAAACAGCAAAAAACTTTGAGATTGATATTGTATCTCCATTAATAAGAAAAACGCCACTCAGTTCAAGTCTTCCACTTCCACGCTCATATTGAAGAGATCTGAGCGTGCACGTTTGAGCATGTGCACACAAATATGTACGTGGATCAAAGAGACAACCAGTTAACTAGCGAGCTAGCTAGTGAACTAGACAAACAGATATCTTGGTTGATACAGACAGTTAACTAGCTGGCCAGCTAACTAACTAAACAAATAGCCAAATATCTGGCTAGCTAGCTAGCTAGCTAAACAAACATTAAAAGTGAGTTTGACAAAAGCGAGGTTGATGGCTTTGTCTAGGTCTCTCTATCAGGGCTCCTCCCTATGTACATCTCTGCCAACTTTTTGAATTGTGGTCCCCAGTTGCTGAGGAAATCATATTCCTGGTCCCCCTCAGTAGCAGCAGACTCCAGCGAACTGAGAGATTCTGCCAAGGAGCCACTGCCCTCGTATGCGTAGGTTGCCAGGGAGTCATAAGGAGGTGCTGTAGGGTCTGAGTCATTCTCCTGAAGCCTCCCGTTTATGAAGTCTCTCACATCCGTGTTATCCTTTATCGGTGATGTCCTCCGAAAGGGAAACAGCATTTCGGGTATGATGTCCCTGCGTAGCTTGTTAGCATCCATCACCTCTGGGTTGCGCAGTGTGCCGATATCAAAGGCCTGAGTGTCCTCCTCTCCTCCCCCCTCATCGTTGTAGCTGACAACGTTGTCTCTGACATCCTCTTTGGAGATGATCAGAGGCTCCTTCTTCCTCTGTCTCCTCAGGGCGGCGAACAGCACCACGATCACTGCACAAAAACAGCAAGGAGAGCAGAGCATAAGATGTGTGCCAGCGAACTTGTGTCATGCATTAGGAAGGGGGAGCAAAAAGCAGAAGGGAGACACATTTGCTACCAGTGACAAATCCCCAACTCTCCCTCAGGCGTTCACCTCCTATTATTAAAGATTCAGTGCAAAAGCTTTTCTTTCCCCTCGTTTCTCCTGAATGGCACATTCACTTTCTAGAATGCACCGCGGTTGGAGGTTCCCATTTTCTACTCCTCAACAAGCATCTTCATATCTCATCTCAGGGGTAAAAGACCAGAGACTGCAGAGTGAGCATGTTCTTAGATGGGGTTGCAAGTTTTTAATAAATAAATTTATGATTCTGTTTTTTTTTCTGAACACAAATCTTGTTTCACCTGTGCTCCTCTCCTTTTACTTCCTCTCCTTTTTTTGTCTTTGCAGCAGGTTTGGTTCCCGACCCGCCTCCTGCCTGGGTGTTAATTGCAATCCCTTCAGGTGGTTGGAATAGGGTCAGCTTGGGTACGCGATGGCTGCTCCAAAGGTTATTTACGAACTTTTATCACTAACCAGTGTGTAGTGAACCATTCCCAGATCAAATAGAAGTAAATAAGACCATTTGTCACTATGGTTCAAGTGCAAAAAGCATCAAATAATGAACAGATGCCGTGATATTTTGTGAAAAGAGTACACTTGATACGTTTGTGGAGATCCGCCTCGAAACAGACGCAGGGTTGTAAAATTGGAGTTAAAATCAGGCAGATGGAAGGAAAAGCTGGTCTCTTCTGAACTGCTAGTGTCAGAACTCTGGTCAGTGCACACCAACGCCAAACTTCAATAAAACATTATGGCAGCAGGCGAAAACAGCTCGGGTTAACACACAGACATAAGATGAGGGATGGTTCCAAGCTAAAGTTACAACCCTGGTGCATTTTATCAAGTCTAAGCAAAGTGTTCAGAGTTTTGATTTGTGATTTTGTTTGTTTTCTAAGTACAACGTCTCAAACTGTAGAATAAACAGATAAAAGCAGATGAACACATTATTTCTGTAAAAAAAAAATATCTTCTATTGGACAAATCTGCATCACAGACATGGTAAAAGAACAGTTTTATGTATCTGATCTTTCAGAATAAGAACTTTATTGTCCTGAGGGAAACTATTTTGTCCTGAACATTCTCAGTGCAACAACATGGTTAGATATAAGACAGTTAAACAGCAGCTAAAATCCAAGCTCTTCACCAAGTTGTGTTCTTTCTTGATTCTTTTCACTTTTCATCCAAACCACTGCCGTTTAGCTCGGTAGTTCCCAACCTTTTTTTCCTGGAGGACCCCTTTGCCTGAGTCCAAGAGAAGCCCGGAAGCCCCAAGCCCATCTCTTACTCTCATAAACACGTTAAAAGTGATTATTTAGAAACTTTGTTTTACAAACATACAGAGTTGTAACTCATATACATGTTTATGATTATTCTACTGGGTGCCTTATTGGGATTTTTTAATGTAATTTTTACAAATATAATCTTAGTACCCTCACCACCTCAGCACAGACAACCTTGTGGGGACCCATTTGGGGGTCATGGACCACGGGTTGGGAATCACTGGTTTATCGCTGATGCCTTTCCTTGTTTTAACACACAGCTGTACGCTCCAGACCAGACACGGAACTGCTTCATGTAATCAACACATCCGGTCAGCAGTATTGGGATTCTACATTCCCTTGATTGAACACTTGAAGTTAGATGTGAGCTTATTTATGCTAGGTGGACATACTCAGAGTTTGGGTTACCAGACCCTCTGACACGGGCTGTTAGTTCTGCCGTTAGTGTGCCGGCAGTTAAGCCTGAGTCATGCTTCTGCGTCAGCTCCACAAGGGACAGATACACACGGATTGACGGAAGCGTTTTGCTCTCATACTCCCCCGTTTGCTGAAGGGGTGTTGCAAAGCAATTCCCCGCCAGGACAACAGAGGGTGTAGAGTAGGTAGCAGTACAGTGACGTTACTATTTCCTTAAAAATCACTTCCGCAGTCTGAAAAATGGCAAGCAACACGAGAAAGAGAAGTTTGATCGAGTTGGAACTGTGTGATCTCGACGAAGAAATGCTTATCTTGCTGAAATACCAGCGAGAGACAGCGGCGTTGGTGGGATGCCCGTCCGCTAAACAGGTCTTTGATCTGAAGTGATCTCAGGTTTCTGGACCGACCAATCACAAGCATGCATTCTCCGTCTCGTTCGACGGATGTTAAGAAAAGTGGGCTAGACTCCGTAAGTACTTGCGTGCCTGCCGGGGACCTACGCAAGGACGGATAATGGCGTTGCGTGTCTCTGCACTGACGCAGACGCAGAAGCATGACTCAGGCTTAAGTTGGGCTCATTCCTAGTGAGAGTTGGACTCTGCAAAGGCTGCCCTTTGTCACCGATTCTGTTCATAACTTTTATAGAGAGGACTTGTAGGTGCAGCCAAGGTGTTGAGGGGATCGGTTTTGGTGGCCAGCCGAGGATCAGGTCTCTGCTTTTTGCAAATGATGTGGTCCTGTTGGCTTCATCAGAACGTGACCTCCAGCTTTCGCTCGAGCGGTTCGCAGTCGAGTGTGAAGCAGCTGGGATGAGAATCAGCTCCTCTAAATCTGAGACCATGGTCTTGATTCGGAAAAGGGTAGAATGCCTTCTCCAGGTCAGGGATGAGGCCCTGCCCCAAGTGGAGGAGTTAAGTATCTCAGGGTCTTGTTCACGAGTGAGGGAAAGCTGCAGCGTGAGATTCGCTGGGAACCATGTCATCATCACTACTAAGAATCCTGACAGCTCAGCCCTAGCCAGTGCCACCAGTTATGCTGCATGTTATATAAGCAGGAGTTTAAATAGGTATTTCCTTTTTAATCTTGTTTGGGTTTCCGAAGCCCTTTTGATGTCTAACTTCCTGCTAGGCTCATCTGCTTTCTGCAGCTTTTGTGAGAAGTGAATTTAAAGCGAAACAGAGAACCGCGTCTGAACAACATAATCCTCAAGGCAATGCATACAAATAGCATTGCACTTCAGGCAAACATTCACTACACAGTTATACACATTTTAAGGCTTTTGCCTTTTTCTTAACACATACAGAAACTCAGCCAGCAGCCAGGGTTAGGCCGAGGGCATCTTTTAATCTCTTTACAGTAAATTACGTGCAGAGGTTACGTTAAACATTAAGAGCAAGTTGTTATGTTGGTGATTTACACCATACCAGTTGGTTAACATCAACAGGCTGCAGGAATCAGTTCTCTATAGTTGTGCAGTGACATTAGAAGAGTAAAAATAAAGCGTCGGACAAGGATGCACAATTTCTGGGCTTGCTGTGTCTATGCTATTTCAGGACTGCAGGCTCTATACCAAGGCTGCTCCATAGGGTTCCTGTATGCGCCTAGAAATCATCCCTCATCCTGTGTTCAATATTTAAATGAAGGCTACTGTTTTGAAACACTTCAGCATCATCTTGTTGATATTTAGAATGAAAGAGCAGATGGTTGATGGAGTTGTTCTCATGTGCTTTTGGGTCAGTTATTCAGAAAATAACCATAACATAAGGGATGTGCAGGGCGTGCTAGAATACCATTAGAACAAAGTAGCTTACCTTTTAACCCTACTTCCATTAACAATTGCAGTATTAAAGATGTAGAACAGTGAAAAAATATATTTTATTATTATTATTTCTGATTTTAATGAGTCTGAGTTTTTCATGCAGGCTGAACATGAAAATAGTCTCCTGCGCCTATCTCCTGCATTAGCATTAGCTTCTGTTAGAAAATAGACGGTGGGACTCTAGGATTAGAAAAGCCTGACAGATCCACGTCACACTGTCACTAACATTCATGGATTCACCCATCTGCACTCAAGACTGGGAAGGCTGTTGTTGGTTTGGCGTCCAGGAAACTGCAGAGAAGGTCACAGCTAGTAGAAGCTAACTGTTAGCATTAGCAACTCCACCACACAGCAGACCTGCTCCAGACTTGTGTTAGTTGTGGAGATAAAACATCAACGTTGCAGAACAAACTGAGTCAGTGGTAGAGTCGTGTTGCTGTTATCCAATCAAAGGAAATATGTCCACATATCAGGATAAGACTCTAAATCCTGCCATCTGCTGCCTCTCTGCGGCGCAGGATTGTCCCTGCTAATCCAAGCAATTCTGGGATTTTTTCCCCCCAAATACAACTTGCATGGCATTCATTCCAACCAGAGACCACTACGAATGCATTTATTGAATGAGCTTCCCACATCTTTAAGACGTATGTATAGTAATCCAAATGATTTTATTTTGTAACTTGCCCATAATTAGGCTTGAACTGTAATGTTACTGTAAAACCCTAATTTAAGTATTGGTTTTTGCCCTTGGGGAAACAGTATCACTGACGTTTTGCCAGTGTGTTCAGCCATCATTTTAACATGTTGAAGTGTAGACTGTGTCAAAAGTACTAAAATGATATTTGTTACCTTTTTCCAGTACATTTACTGTTTAGCTGGAAATCAAGAATATATTAATGTGGTCAACTGCACAGCGCTATGTTGCATCTCTCTTAAAATATAAGCTAACAGCAATGTTTTTATTTTTTTATTTGACATATTTTTAGCAACATATTCATTAAAGATGGTGGACAATACTGGCTGTGTGACAGATTTACATTAATATACACTATTCCAATACTTTATTCTTGTCTGTATGCAAATGATCAGGTGATACTTTGTGTTCTGTTTGCTCACACAGAACTGGGCAAAGGGTCTTTCGTTCACTCTGCTCCTTCATGGAACAGGTTGCAGGAAAACTGGAAATTAATTGATCGCATCTCCTTGAATACGTTTAAAAACAGATTCAGAGCACTTGAGATGGATTTCCTGTGCTGTAACTGCCATCTGTAATTCTGTATACAACTGAGAAATGTTGTGACTGTATCTTTTGCTGCCTCTTGGCCAGACTGCCTTGAAAATGAGGATTTTGATCTCAGTGGGACCTTCCAGGTTGAATAAAGAATAAATGAAAATAAAATGGTAGCCATCATACCAGCAGCTGTTTAGGACGGTGAGACTGATTCAAAACTCCCAACTTGCAAGTGAAAAAGACGTAAACATGAAATCAGATGTTGATGAAAAGATTTCCATCCTCAAATAGAAACAGGTTTTTGAAATGCCTCATAAGACATGAGTTCAACATCCAATCCCAAAAGCAATGTTCAGCCTAATCAGCCCTAACCATCGACCAGCTAATCAACCCCATCGATTTGTCAGGCTCCCACAAGCTGCCGATGTTATGATTTATTTGTAATCCAAAATGTCCAGATCAATACCTCTTAAGAACAACATTTTTTCTGACATAAACGATGATGCTGTCCAGCTAAAGTAATTTAAAACACCAACAACCTGCTGTTCGATATAAAGAGAGAGCCACAAACCAGCAGCTTTGAACTTCCAGATAAATAAGTCAGAAAAGCGTCTGCATGTTGTCAACTAATGTTCTTGGAAATATAGGGAGAGAGAAGCAGAGTCGTGGTACATTTTGTCACCAGTTTGTTGTTTCACTGAGCTTTTTATCTTTGATCTATTGAATAGCCATCACTGCTGATGCAAGTCTCTCATTATCGGGACTGTGAGATGTCGCAGTTTAAGGGTGACATCTCTTTGTATCGATGTGCTAATGTGCTCAGCGTTATTCATTGCTTTAATATGTTGAGATGTCAGGCTGCTGGCAGAAAGACGTCTTTTCAGAAGCATTTCACTGGTTTCAGTAAGTTTGGAGCTTGTGGTGAGAGGTTTTGTTGCTCTCGGCTGGTTGTGCAGAGCGAACACAGAATTAAGGACTACCAGGAGTAGTTCGATTTTTGTCTTTATGCCAGAGTTATTAAAATTAAAATCACTTTTCTATTTCGAATGCAATCTTCTCTCACTGGACTCAGGGAAAAAAGAACAGCGGGTTCTGAACATGGCTGTTTTACACAATAACCAAGCATGCAGCAGGTTAGCCAAATAAAGCAACTCTAGCACTTCTGAAAAGCATTACTTTCATCTTTTACATTTATTCTAACCAACACGGTATCACCTGATTTCCTCGTTTCAATATAAGGTCAAAGGTCAGACATAATTAGTTATAAGCAAATCCTATTCAGCCATGTTCTCTTGCAGACAGAATAGTGGTCAAAAGCACAGTTTTCTTGCAAAAACAAGACTGCAAACTTTGATAAATGCCATTATCAAATAACACTTCTCACCTATTTTCTTTTTAATTTCAATAATTTTATTTGAACTTGCATGTGGAGGAGCCGTAGCACTGGCTGAAGACAGAACGTCAGCTTTTGCTGTTTAACATGATTTACATTCCGAATCAAAATAATCAACGTAAAAGGACATTTGGTCATCCGACTACATGAGGGTGTTACTGTCAAAAATGACTTTCTTTGGGTTTTGTTTCATTTCCAGCTGTCTAATTTGGCCCGCTCCATCCTCTACCTTTACTTTCTCTGGACAATCACCATAGTGATGGACCGTGATGAAGTCCAGATGGAGAATAGCTACTTCAGAGGTTTAAAAGGACCCTTGATGGTGCTCTGCTTTGTTGAATTCACAAACATTTCTGAGTTGTTCAAACTGTTTATAAATCAGTTTTATCATAAACCTCCAAATGAACAACGTACACGGATGCACGTTTCCATGGCAACAAGCATTAAAACTGATTCTAAAAGACAAATGCAATCTATCTTTATTGTTGGCATTTAATAATCTCAATAACATTTTTGCAGTTCTGTTATTAAACATTTTGACCGTTGCAGGCATGCAGCCATTAGAATACCACGCTTAAGACATGAACGTCCATCATTCCAGCGTTTCAAGCTTCGACAGTTTGTATCCTTGTTCTTTTTTTAATGCTAAGAAACATGATAGAAAACGTCTATGACTCAGACAAATCTTTAAAAGACATACAATTCAAAAACTAAAGTTGTAAGTGATGAGTGGCAACAAAACAAACACTACAAGACATAAATCCAGCCAAAAGTCCCATGCAAGCATGTCCACGTGGTACTTACTGAGCAGAATAATGACACAGAGCAGGATGGCCACCAGAGCTCCAGTTGTGAGACCGTCTGAGAAGGGCAGCACCTCTGGGTTACACGACTGCATGTTTCCACGGCTGTCACAAGCGCAAACACGCACGATCAGCGTACTGGTGCTGCTCTGAATCGGGTAGTCATTGTCAGAGATGACGACAGGGAGGAAGTACACGCTCATCTCTCGCCGGCTGAAACCGCCCCTCCTCGTTACGATGTTGGCCGTGTTGTCTGAGGAAAGATGCAGATGGGTGGAGCGTGTTGGTAATGAGATGGTTCAGCCGGCCAAATCCGTTTACTATTTATAATCCAACAGATTTCCTTCTTTCTTTCTCAAAGCCGTTCAAACACAGATTTTGAGGTCACCCAAATTGAACTTTGATCAAATCACATGGAGTTTAGGTTTGTTGAAGAGCTCTTACCTTCCTTGTCAACAATAGTGAAGTTGGGGTTGCCTCCGCTCATGCTGAAGACAAACTTGTGCCCAACAAGGGGTTCGTCTGTGTCAACGGCACTTATTGTCTGAATCAGCTGCAAAGAACAACAATTGATGAGGACGGTTCTCTGTAATGTCTGTAATGTAATATAAATGTGTTTTGCCCCTTGACACTGGTTTAAGAGCATGCTACATCTCTTTGCATATGACATGTATTTTGGGAAACCCACCTAAGTGTTTTAACCTTGGAAAATGCAGCAGATTACCAGTGCATAGACACCTTAGTTTAAAGAGGAGTGACCGACAGCTGCATGCTCGATAAAACATGTATTTAGTGAATGACAATGGACAAAGATGGCTCCTTAAAGGAATGCTAAGCAGTTTTGCTTGCTTCTAGCACCCCCTAGTGCCCGTTATTATCTGTGGTCAAAGCAAAGGTGAAACGTATCTCCTTGCTGTGCAGTCGTCTTTCTATGACCTTAATCTAACTGCTGAAATGTCTCCCCAGTCTTCATTCGTGTCTACAGGAGTAGTTCATGTTCAGACACAGTGGGGGACTGAGTGACATTCCATTAACACTGTAAAGGGTTGTTTCAGTACATACTGGATCAAAAAAATTATCTAAAAATATGTAAAATATCATAGTATCGAGAGGAGCCAGTGCAGATGGCTCCGGCATCTGGTCAGGATGCCTCCTGGACGCCTCCCTGGTGAGGTTTTCCGGGCACGTCCAACCGGGAGGAGACCTAAAGGTAGACCCAGGACACGCTGGAGGGACTATGTCTCTCACCTGGCCAGGGAACGCCTTGGGATTCCCCCAGAGGAGCTGGCCCAAGTGGCTGGGGAGAGGGAAGTCTGTGCTTCTCGACTTAAGCCTGATTTATGCTTCTCCGTCTGCGTCAGTGCGGAGACACGCAACGCCATTATCCGTCCTTGCTTAGGGCTCCGGCAGGCAAGCAAGTACGTACGGAGTCGAGCCCACTTTTTTAAACATCCGTCGAACAAAACGGATTACGCAAGCTTGTGATTGGTCAGGACGCCGCTGTTGTTTACAGCGCCGCCATTGCAAAGAGAGCCGAGGATAACTAGCGGCAGACACTGAGAAGCTTGAAGAATACCTCGCGAAAACACTCTAAAAATGTGAATGTTTAATTCTCCCGTGACTGGAGGAGTGAAAAGATGTGCAGCAAGCGTTTTATTTGTGGACGGAAATGACAGGAAACGTGGGTTTAGAGGTGGGGAGCGCATGAAGAGGTTGGAGAATGAGAGACAAATATGTCCGTGTTAAAAGTCTCTTATATACACAAAAAACACATTATAAACACACTATCTTGGACCGATACATGACAGGATACCACAGAACAGCGCTACGCCCTCTGTTGTCCTGCTGGGCAATTGCTTTGTTACACTCTCCAGGAGACGGAGAAGTATGAGAGCAAAACGCTTCGGTCAATCCGTGCGTGTCTGTCCCTTGCGGAGCTGACTGAGAAGCATAAACCAGGCTTAAGGCTACTGCCCCCGCAACCCGACTCCGGATAAGCGGCTGAAAATGGATGGATGGATCAAAGTATCCATTTAAATCCACTAAATAGTTCCTGAGCACAGCCACTGCTGCTGCTCACCGATCCCCACGGGGATTGGTCAGTTGCAGAGATGTAATTTCACCACTGTGTGATGATGACTTATGGGACTTTAACTTTCCCATGTTTGCCACCCCAAGACATTTTCCTGCACCGTGACCAAGGCATTAGCACGTTTGAAACAATCCAACAACATTTACTCACGCTTACACCATGCCCCATCCTGGCATGCCTCTCTCAAGATGCAGCTATATGATAGAGGATCATGCTAGACGTAATCAGGTCATAACTTAAACCTGATGCTAGCGAGATTTGTCCAGCTTAAAATTTGTTTGTTTTTTGAAGAGACTTTCGTTGAAAGTAACGTACAAGTAGCCTAACATGCTTGGTCTGTGGAAGGAAACCATCACTCAGAGAAAACCCAAACATACGTGGAGAGAACATGCAAACTCCTTGCAGAAAGACCAAACCACAGATTTAAGCGAGCAACCTTCTCCAACTGGTGCCGCCGTGCAGACATTAAGGCAGAGTACATACAGCCCACCACGATTCACCCAGAGTCTTAGTATGCTGCCACCACAACCTTGTTTTAGATGTGGTATGCATGCTCAGATACTTTACCATCAATCACGGTAAGTAAACTGTCCTAATCTGCATCTCCGAGAAATTGGGCAGTAGCCAAATCTTCATCCTACGTAACTGGGATCTTGGACCACATTAACGTTTTATTCACCTGGCCTGCTTTGACGTTTTCACAGACAAACGTATCGTAGGACATGGCGAACTCCGGCGCGTTGTCGTTGACATCCAACACTTTGATGAACACAGGCACTCGAGTCGTCTGACGAGGATTACCTGAGAAGGAAAATGTGAGTTAAAGTTGGTGCTACGGGGAGAAATGCCCCTTATTATGGATCACTTACTATTTTCAGTGGCTACCACAGAGATGTTGTGCCATTTGGACATTTCTCTGTCCAGGGCTTTCAGTGTTGTGATCGTGCCGTTGACAGAATCAACGTTAAACAGCCTTTCGAGGTCCGTGTGTCGATCGATGGAGTATCTGCAAAAACAGCATGGGTTCCTCATCGTTATTCGCGTTTCTCTCTGCATACATGTGACCAGTGTGGTAGGGTTTTGTTTCATTTGCACAGATTTGTTTGCATATTTTCTAAAAAAAAAGAAAAAAAAAGTCAAAAGTCATGAAATCCCCCCCGCAATAGTTTTCCATGCTCTCTGCTGTCACACACTGACATGTCTTTCATTGAGTTTACTCATTTGTCACAGTCGCCTCTCATGTTCCCTTGGAATTTGAATATGCAACACTGCTCGCCATGTGGCGCGGGCCGACAGTGGCATATCTCCGTGACAGGGGCGGGCGGGCGCCATATGTTTCCAGCGGCGGCTGTGAGCCGTGTGAATCAATACAGCAAATTAAACTATTTGACTTTGTGCAAAGCCGTGGAGGGCTTACATAATCCTGGGAAATAAACACTGTCTGTATTCACTTTGCGGGGCAACTGCCATCTTCCACTGGGAAATCACCAGGAGGGATCCATGAATAATATTCTTTCCTTCCCTGTTGCACGCTGACACGTGGGTGGCTTGATGGATTAGATAAACCTACTGGGCACATTTTCATCATCGCTGCACAAAAATGACAAAAGCCGACTGTACATCCACAGCTGCTTGTTTTTCATCAATTTTCTCGTGTATAATTGAACCCGGGACGATGAGTTACGAAACAATCACATTACTTGAATGCTTGTTGAGGAAGTCTTTGCTTAGGTGGGTATTGATTTACTTGTAGCTTTAATAGCGCGTGCTTAAATACCATGAAGAATAAACTCAAACACACACAGATACGTTTTTTTCCCCATGACCTACTTGACGGGCTTGTTGTCCGCATCAGGGTCCCTCGCCATCACCACGCCAACGAAGCTGCCAGCAGCCGTGTCCTCGTGCACCTCGATGATGTAAGGGTTCCTTGTGAAGACTGGGGGCTCGTCCACATCCTCCACCGTGACCTTGACTGTGGCGTAGTCTTTGAATTGCACACCGTGAATGAACCTCGCGTCTAAGTAGGTGTTTCTCACCTCCACTCTGAACTCGTAGTCCCTCTTACTTTCATAATCCAGTGTCTGGAGATGAAAGAGCATCAGAGGGAAAGCTGTAGACTTTTCTGTTCCAAAAGAAAAAAAAGATCTGCCTGCAGGATTTTGATATGCAATTCATTGCATTTCATTTGTCTGCCTTCATCTTAGTCACTCGCTAAATTCAGAGCAACAAATCCAAGTCAGGAATTCTGATCGAAGGATCTTAGGGGAAAACTAAAAGAGTTTCTTGCAAAAGACCCGTCTATATTATTCATTTTACAGGCTTATGGTATCAGATTTTACACTCCAGTTCAAAAATAAGTTCTGTCATATCTCATATCTTTTTTTATGTGAATAAATGTTCTCAGGGGACCTTTTCCTCACATGAATTTATGCCTTTCTTCCTTCCTACCGACTGGAGCTAAATGATCTGTAATCTGCGTGTGAAGGAGAGATTCTCTGTATCAAAACAAGATCAAACAAGTGTTTAAAGATTGATTTAGATTAAAACATGCAATGAGTTTGGGTTTAATTTCCACCTCACGCTATTTTCTCCAAAATGTAATATTCAAAACCAAAGTGTTTAAACAGTTAAAAAAGTCATTTCAGGGTTGGTAAAAAGAATGAGATGACGTAAAATCTCCTGTTGAAAGTTGAACTTTAACGTAACTCTGTCATGTTCTGTGTCTCTTTGTTCCCCAGCCCCTCCAGTTCCCACTCCAGGTTCTCCTTTTGTGTTTCATGGCGCCCTCATGTGTCCTTTGTCTGCGTCTTTCCCCATGTGTCTCCTAATGTTTCTCCATCCCTCTCTGGATTCCCTTTTGTGTTCTCTTAGCGCCCTCATGTGTCCTTTGTCTGCATCTCTGTTGTGTGTCTTAAGTTGTAGCCCCAGCCTCTTGTTCCCCAGTTCATTGTATGTGTGTATGGGTTTGTGTGTGTCAGTATGTGTATGTGTTTGTGTGAGTTCTTCCCTTAGTCTTTAGGTTTAGTTTTGTGTTTTATATAGTGTTAGGTTAATCTGCCCTCCACTGGTTCTCTTCCCCATCCAGATAATTGCTGTCACCTGCCTTCCCTCCAGCCTCACTCCACACACCTGCTTCCTGTTTCCCTAATTGCTCCTCCCTGTCTATATAAGCCCTCCTTGTCTCATTGTTCTTGTCGGTCCATTGTTGTTGTCAGCGTGAGTTATTCTCAGTCTGCTCGTTCCTCTTGTGTTTTTTGATTTCCTGATTTTTGACTTTGCCTTCCTGCCCTTTTGGATTTTATGTTAGTTTTGGGGTTCTTCCTAAAATAAAAGGATTTGTCTTTATACATCTACTCCTGCCTCGTGTCATCCTGGGTAACTGCATTTTGGGTCCAAACCATCCTCTCATCCTGACAAACTCTTATTGCTGCTGATTGCAAATTCCTTTTGAATGTACAGAAACAGATATAACGAACATTAAGGAGTAGTATTCCTTGGAGTAATCCATGTTTCATACTCAGATGATCGGAAATAATAGTTATAGCCATTCTGCTGATTAAAAAAAATCACTTAATATCTTAATGGGATACTAAGCAGTTTTACTTGCTTTTAGCATCCCATAGTGTCCATTATTATTTCACTCTTTCTACCCAAAGTAAAAGGTATCTCCTTGCTGTGCGTTGGTCTTTTTAACACCTTTATCTAAAAAATGAAATGTCTCCCAAGCCTTCATTAGTTTCTAGAGGAGCTATTCATCATTAAATGAAACAAATCAGCTGTGTTCACGATCCAAAACACGCAGGAAACGTGCTGGAAGTGGGCGGCAGCTCCACCATGTCAGCTCCCCTCCCCTTCACAGCTCCCCTTACCAGCAGGGACCAGCCTGGCAACTCTGAAGTTGCAAGTCTGGTATTCTGGGGTGGTGGGGTCTGAGTGAAATTTCAATAACTCTGTAAAGGGTCACTTTAGCTCGCAAAAGAAAAGGATTTAAAAATATGAAAAAGTTACATAGTCTGACTTTAAAATCATGTGCAGCTTATTAGTAGCTACTTGGAGTAAATGCAGCTGATGAGTCTTGGCTACCAACATGTAACATTTCAGCCCAGATTCTATAGTTTTAGCCATTTTTGTGTTTTCCAAGGCCAATCAGCCTTAGTGGCCATTTTTATTGGACTAATTGCAAAAGATAGTCAGTTTATTTGTATGTATAGTCACTGTTTTCTGAACCAATGAGCTGAGCTGAC